ACACCTTTGTTTCAGGTACCAAAGATTTCATTCATGATCATCCTCAATCGTTAAGCTCGAGAATCAACATTCTCAAGTCCCGCAAGAAATCCACATTTTCTAAGCAATTTTTATGAATATTTTGTTCAAACTTTTCTAACTTAATAAATGTAAAAAGTAAGAAACTTTTTCTGAATTTTGGAAATAATGTAATCTAAAGTTTCTGTGAAGTTTGTGTTAAAGAGTATAGTGTATATATATAGTGTATATATAAAAGATGTAATGTACTCTATAGTGTATAATGTAGTTAGTATGATTGTGCCTCCAGGTGTCCCTCTAGCTGCGCGTTTGTTACAAAATGAGATGTGGCCAGAACTTAAGGATCGATTCTCTCATCAAAATGGACCCAGGATTTATGAACTGAAGAATGTTTTGGCTGATCAGGAGCAGAAAAATGACTCTGTAAGCATCTACTATCGTAAGCTGAAAACTATATGGGATGAATTATCAATATATGATCCCATACCTGAATGTAGTTATGACAATTGAAAATATTGGTTGATAGACATCATCGTGACTATGCGATCAAATTCTTGATGGGATTGAATGAAGTATATGACAACACAAGAGCTTAAATCATGATGCTTGATCCCCTTCCCCCAGTTAACAAAGTATTTTCCTATATACAACAGTTAGAAAGGCAAAAACAACTTGTCTCCACCACAGTAAAAAATGAGACCATTGCAATGACAACTAGGAAATTCTATGGGGATAACCAAACACCCAAATATGGAAAAGTGAATACCACTGGCAAGAATGAGAGACCATATTGCACATATTGCAAAATCCCTGGACATGTTTTGGATAAATGCTTCAAAGCAGGGAATACTAAATCACCAATATGTACATACTACAACTTAACAGGTTTTACATGGTTACCTCCAAATCATAAGCTACACAAAGCCCAGAGGAGAGAATGGGGTTTTGCAAATCAGTCAAGTATAATGCAGGAGGATAGTGAGAAACCAGTTTCTCTAACCAAGTGATAATATCAAGAATTCCTTGCCTTACTTTGACCTAAAGATACCTCACAGATTACTCATTTTGCCAACCACGTTCGGGCTATTGATCATTCCAAGACTAATTCACCATCTTCCTTGTCTGGTAAACCCACTTGTTTATTTGTTCCATCCACACACACTCATAATTCTGCGAACATTCCATGGATCATTGACACTGGTGCAACAGAACATATGATCTATAACACTAATCTCTTCACTTCCATTGATTCGAGAACTTCTCCCTCAGTGAAATTGCCTACTAGAAAAATAGTCCATGCTACAAATTTTGGTGTAGTTCAATTCACTAATTCGTTACTTCTCAAGGATGTATTATGTGTTCGTACTTTTCATGTTAATATGTTATATGTTAAAAAGTTAATACAACAACTCCAATGTTGCCTAATATTCTTATTTGATGCCTGCTATATATAGGACCTTTTGTCTTGGAAGACTATTGGGAAAGGTGAACTATGGCGTGGCCTGTATTGACTCCTACATCACAAGGTTCCACCCACAGCTCTAATGACTACCCTATAAGCCCTCAATCTTAGGCAACCATTTATTGTAGCTTCTGTACTTAACTCTGATGTTTAGCCACATTTGTGGCACTATCGTTTAGGACATATATTAGAATCTTGAATGAAACTTATCTCAGATTACTCTATTGTTTCTCATTATAAGAATGTTAGTGATATTCCTTGTTTATTTGTGTATTAACAAAACAGCATAAGACACCTTTTCCCATAAGCACACATAAAACAAAACAAATTTTTGACATCATCCATGTGACATTTGGGGTCCATGTCCTACTACAACTCATGATGGATCTAAGTACTTCCTCTCCATGGTAGATGATTTTTCACGAGTCACATGGGTATATATGCTTAAAAGGAAATGAGATGCTAGCCACTCCATTAAAGCATTCATCAAAATGATAGAAAACCAGTTCCAAACTACAGAAAAACTTTGAGAAGTGATCATGGACCTGAATTTAAACTGACCGACTTTTATGACCTGAAAGGAATCATTTATAAAAAAAGTTGTGTTGAGACCCCTCAACAAAACGGTATGTTGAACGAAAACATCAGCATTTGATGAATGTAGCCAGATCATTGAAATATCAATCTGGTCTTTTTCTATTTTATTGGAACGAGTTCATCCTTATTGCCACATATTTAATAAATAGAACTCCCACACCATTGTTGCAAAATAAGTCACCATTTGAGGTGCTATATAATATCATTCCAACTTATTCTTATCTTAGAATTTTTGGATACCTCTGTTATGACTCCATGTTGGTACATGGGAGAAGAAAATTTAATCCTAGGGGGTGCCAATGTATTTTCTTGGAGTTACAGGCTATAAGATGATGGATTTACGGACAAGAGCCATCTTCATATCTCAGGATATTGTATTCAGGAAACATATTTTCCTTACAAACAAACTGTAAAGCCCACTGATAAATCTGAACTTGTCTTCACCAAACCACTTCCAGACATTACCCTGCTATACACCTGTATCACTACTAGATACAATGTCCCGTCCACATGAAATACACACATCTGATCAGAACATAGCAAGCAATTCTCCATGTGATAATACTCCCCAATCATCACCTCTCATACCACCTATCATTCGAAAATCTACAAGAGTCAAAAGAGCTCAGTATTGCGAGATTTTCATCACCAGCAGGCCACATCAACTCAACCATTCCAATCATCTCTCAAGACAAAACATCTAGGGTTTGCAAGTAATGCTTTTCCCCTCTCCAAGACTATATCTTATCATAAATTATCGCCTCAGTTAAAAGTATTTTCATCCTCCATTTGCACGCACTTTGAACCTAATACTTATCCTCAAGCAGTGACAAATCCTAAGTGGTGCAAGGCAATGGATTCAAAGATAGAGGCCCTTGAGTTAAACGGAACCTGGATTCTCACTTATCTTCCACCAGGAAAGGTAGCAAATGGATGCAAATGGGTGTATAAATTGAAATACAATTCAGATGGAATCATTGAAAGGCACAAAGTGAGACTTGTAGCCAAAGGGTATAAACAAAGAGTACGGATAGACTACAATAAGACCTTCTCACCTGTTACAAAGATGGTCATTGTTCGATGCCTATTAGCTATAGCAGCAGTTTAGAATCGGCATTTAAAACAAGTTGATGCAAGCAATGCTTTTCTATATGGCATTTTACGTGCAGAAACCACCTGACTACACAAAAGGAACTCCAATCAAGTTTGCAAAATGTTGAAAAACATATATGGTCTGAAACAAGCTTCAAGGCAATGGTATTCCACATTCTCAACAATCCTCATCCAATTTGGTTTTTCCCAGTTTAAGGCTAATTACAGCCTTTTCAATATGGTGACAAACCATTCCTTTACAGCCTTACTTGTCTATGTAGATGATATTGTCATAGCTAGCTCTAGTTTAACACAAATTGATGCAGATCAAAGATTCCTCAACAGCAAATTTAAGATTAAAGTATTGGGTGATTTGAAGTACTTTCTTGGTCTTGAAGTTGCAAGATCAAACAAGGAAATTTTTATCTCTCATCACAAATATACTTTGGACTTATTGGCTGATGTAGGGTTCTTTGGGGCTAAACTAGTTAAACTTCCTATGGACCAGAATTTGAAGTTAGGAAAGAACACATGAACAGCACTACTTGATCCCACCATTTACAGAAAACTAATTGGAAAATTAATGTATCTATCCCTAACTAGACCTAATATATGTTATGCAATTCAGAACCTCAGTCAACATATGGAAGCTCCCTCTTACATACATCTTGCTGTAGTTCACAAAGTAATCGAATATCTTATGTTAGCACCAGGACAAGGCCTCTTATTTTCATCCTCATCATCACTGACCCTTCGAGCATTTTGTGATTCTGATTGGGGAGCTTACCCTGATTCTCGAAGATCAATTATTGGTTATTGTATATTTCTTGGGGATTCATTGATTTCTTGGAAATCCAAGAAGCAAAGTGTGATATCTCGATTATCTGCTGAAGCGGAATACAGATCAATGGCTAGCACATGTTGTGAGATCACATGATTAAAATATATTCTGAAGGACTTCCAAATTCATCACTCCCAACCGTTACTTTATATTGTGATAACCAGGAAGCATTAGACATTGCCTCCAACCCAATATTTCATGAAAAAACTAAACACATCAAGCCAGATTGTCATTTAATTAGAGACCAAATCGAAGCTGGCCACAACTTATGTTCCTACCCAATCATAACTTCCTGATATGTTCACCAAGGCGCTCTCTTCCATCACTCTCAAGTCACATTTATCCAAGATGGCAACAGAGAATATATATTCTCCATCTTGAGGGGGTGTTAAAGAGTATAGTGTATATATATCGTGCATATATAAAAGGTATAATGTACTCTATAGTGTATAATGTAGTTAGTATGATTGTGCCTCCAGGTGTCCCTTCAGCTGCCTGTTTGTTACAACACTAATGCACATGGTTAGCTACTGAATAATTCATTTGGTTGTATAGTTGGTTAAGATATCATTTTACTTATGTACCCTTTTGTCTTCTATATATTTGGACGCGTATCATCACTATGGAATGAGAAGAACTTCTGATTCATTATTCCTAATATATCAGCTCCTTCATCATCCTCATTCGGCTGTTTTTACTTACAGTTTGAGTTTCTAAAATGTGTGAAAAGGATGTTTTTCTACAATCCAACTAAACTTCATAATTGCATAGGCAGAAAATTAATACCATCATCTGTCAACCCACAGGCCGCCATTTTCAAAGTGGAAGTAGTCGATTTGCCATTTATGCATTTTCCATTAGCATTTAGCATCACCCAGAAGTTATTCAGTTTCCTCTGTTTAATACTCACAAGCAATCACCAAATTAAAGGAAACTAGCTAATTTAAAATGATCTCAAGAATAATGGAAGCTACTAATAAATTTATAATTTTACACACCTGTAGTTCTTAAACTTGATAGAACTACAGAAGCAATAAGGCGAAAACCTTGAAAATCAAGGAGACCATTTTCAGAGATGTTGGAGGGAACCCGATCGTCAATCCGGTAAACAACCCATTTTCGACTCGGATACCACACAAAGTCTGCAAATTCGTGATGCCTCCCTAAGCTGACTGCTACATCCCCAAAGTCCGAATCGTTCTTTGTTACGTACATAATACAGCGTTTGAACAGTGGTTGCAATTTCAAAATCACCTAAGTATTATAATTGTGTTTTCTATATTTGTTTATAATCAGTTCCCTTCTCTTTGCCATAGTTATCTACAATCACTCTTTTTTTTTTTTGTATACATATATACATCACATACGTAATTATTCTTCATTATTGTCAAATTGTTATGGCATCATAGCAAATTAGCAATCAAAGGATCAAATTAAGTTCCGAGTGTTACAAGTTACAACCACCTATTTATGATAATTGTGCATGACCTTTTTTTTTTTTATCAAATCATGAATCTAGTTTGTAGGTCGAGGAGCATGTCAAAAACTAAATTTAAATAAATATGTATATTATGTAATGTATTATTTATTTGGACAAATTGCAATTGGGGTCCCAAACTTTTTAAATTATTGCAGGTTATATCCAAATATTTTATTTTTGCAATTAAGGTCCCAAACCTTTCATCACTATTGTAGTTGGAGGACATGTGGGCGAATTTCATTCATTTGATCGTTAGTTGACCAAATGTCAACAGTCTAACCAAAAGATTTTTTATTTTATTTTTATATAATAATTTTAATTATTTTATATGGGATATCTTAGTCAGATTGTTGACTTTTGGTGAACTAATGATCAAATAGACGAATTCCGTTCACATCTCCTGTGGCTGTACTCGAGATGAAAGGTTTGGGACCTCAGCTGCAAAAATAAAAGATTTGGGTATAGTTTGCAATAATTTAAAAGGTTCGGGACTCCAACTACAATTCTCCCTATTTATATTTAAATTAAATAAATTTATATCCACAAGATATGAAGATGATACTAAAATTTTCCGAAAGGTCTCATATTGGGACACTTGATTATAACCTCACATTTTCGCGGTTCCATTTCATGGCTGACTTTCAGATGCTAAAAATGGACAGGGAAATAGAAATAACCAAAGTTAAATCAATTAAATATATAAATTAACATACCTGTAAAATAACTCCAAGCACTCCAAGGGAGACTTTAGCTGCATCGAGCTCAGGGTTGCCAATTTCTAGTGTCCGGACTTTTGCATAACCCTCGTCAGCACTAGCCGGAGTCACAGTCCGGAGTAGAATTACGTAGTCAGGAACTTGTGACATTTAATTTAAGGATCTCAAAAGTGGATTATGCAATTTGGTTAACCCTATGTTGATGATAAACCATAACATTATATAATACTCTTTTCGTCCCACTTATATAGGTTGATTGTATTTTTCACAAAAATTAAAAAAAGTATTTAATGTTATCGGAAAAAACAATTTTTGCAAAGAAATTTTCTAGTTTACAGTTATTTAATTATCAACAACTAGTAATAAATAATAGTGTTTTGTCCATGTTTCCAAGAAGAAGTGGGAAATGTTTGTATGTATTTAGATAATTTCAAGAAGATAAATTAAAATCTGTACATTTTCAAGATTAAGTTGGTGGAATTGGTTATCACTAAGCCAATTAAATAAGAGTATCGTAGTAAATGAACAAAACAAATATTTTCTCAATAAAGAAATATGACTATATAAGTGGGACAGGAAAATAAGGAAATCTGGCGTATATAAATGAGGCATATGAAGTATTGTTATCTAAATTTATTTATAAATGTTGCTGGACATTTTAGAAGGCTTTCAGCTCTAGAATTCACTTGGGGAACATAAAAACATAAACATTTTGTATTAAAAAGAAAAAGAGGACTTATAGCTTGTTTAGATAATTTGCCACCAACATTGGATGCCAATAAATAGGGGTTTTGGATTCAAATTGTAGAAGTAAAAGTCTTCAAAATTGATTGTAAACAAAGCCCAAATTCCAATTTAAACAATAAATTGTGGTTTCCCCCTTCAACTATCTTGTCCATTTAAATCTCTTCCCACTATTTCTACCTCTAAAACTTTTGTCCCATGTAAAACTCACTAAGTCATTTTAATCAAAATCAACTTCTTCAATCCAACCATAATAAAAACCTGTATGCTAGTTCTCATCATTCCAAGAGTCACTAAAGGAAATGTTACTTTCAACAACCAAATAAATGATCATAGAAGATACATTATTAGTTGTTGATCACGTTCAATGATCAAATACACAGTTGATTGTTCATTGATTGACAAAGAGGTGTTGACGAATGTATTCGACTAAAAATATGTTTGGCTGTTAAATTTATTATTTTAGTCACTAAATAATTGTAAATAACTGGTCATAAAAAAATTGTATTGACAACCAATTCTTTTTTCAACAAACCCTTGTTTGGTTGTTGTAATAAATATTTTAGACGTTAAAATACATTAGAAACAACCAAAATTTTGTTGTCTTTCATTTCAAAAATGAAAAAAAATAGCCATTAAAAATTAATATTTACAACTGATTAATTTTATTACAAGAACTACTTGGTTTGTCATTGTATTAATTATTTTTTATCGATAAAATATCATCAAAAGTACTAAAATCTAATTATCTTTCTTTTCAGCAATGAAAGAAGTGGTTGTAAAACGTTTATATTAACAATCAAAATATTAAAATAATGAAAAATATGATCGTCAACAGTAATATTCATGGTTCCATAACTTTTACACATTGACATCATACTACAAATAAATCTTACCCACACGACATGCACGTTCTTCAACCAATTAGTGCAAGCCATGAGCATTCACATTTGTCAAGTGTATTTGACTTCTACTTCATATTTTCATTAGAGCATATCCAATTGATTTTTCAAAAGTAAAATATTTTCTATTTTAAAGAGCCAAATTTTATAATTATACTCCGATGATTTTTTATTTTAACTCTATCAATATTGCATTTAATAAAATTACAAATTTCAATGTTCCAATATTTAAATTATTCATATTGTATTTAGTATAAAGAGCGAAAGTAAACTAATTTGTTGGAATGTATAAACAAAATTTACTCTTTAAATTAAAAAGTGTTCTATATTATGATCGAGGTGCTCTTTATTAAAAATAAAAAAAAAAATCTTCAAGAGACTCTATTCTAATTTTTTAAAATAGAAAGTGGGCGTGTTCTATACTCTTATTTTATAACAATTGCATTTAATAAACAACAAATTTCAATACTCTACTTCTTAACTTATTCAAATAACATTTAGACGGATAATTAACATCGATTGGAGAAGTGATATGTCCATTCATTTAAATTTGTCTACACACGTCTTTGAGGCGTAGGCTGGATTCATTAATTTATTAACCATAAAAGCAAGCATATGACACAACATGCACATCCCTAACTATAAATTTTGTTTCCGTACATGTGCTGCTTGTGATTGAGGGTCGAAAGAACTATCATCCTCAATCACTGCTAACGAATCAAGCTTCATGACCACTTCAAACAATGTATCTTCTTCGTGAAGTAATTAGAGACGTAGTTGAAATTTTGATACCAAGAATGACATAGGAAAAATTAGTAAAAAATTATTAACACTTTTAACTAAGTAATATTAAAAAGGTAAATAATTTATAAATTTAAATTATTGACAAAAAAATATCAATAACGAAAATAAAAATTAAATACAAGTGAAGTCATAAAAATGTTCAAAAAGGTAACTTATTCCCTGGAAATATCATAAAGAAAAATAAAAAAAATATTTGATTTTAACTATTAAAAATTATATAAAAATAGTAAAAACAAAATTTTATTAGTAATATCGATGACTTCTTGTCAAAGATCACCAACAAAAACACCATAGTTTTTAGCCAATTGATCACCGGAAGAAATATATGAGAAGTAGAGTATTGAAATTTAGACTGGTGATCAATTTAAACTGGGCAGATTTTCAAATTTTTTTGGTAGCTGATTTCGTTGGTTTATTATGACCAAATCCCTTGGAGTTATGGGGAGATTTTTAGTGGTAATTGAAGAGGACATTGTGGACTTTCCAACGGTATCCGAAACCGACAGTATTGGTGGTCGGAAGTTGTCGAAAAATTGCCGCAAACTCGCCCAAAAAATCTGAAAATCAGATTTTTCGGTAGCCGACTTTGTGAGTGTATTTCGGCAGAATCCCTTAGAGTTATGGGAATATTTTTGGTGGTAGTTGAAGAGGACATTGTGGGCTTTCCAACGGTNGGTAATTGAAGAAGACATTGTGGGCTTTCCAACGGTATCCAAATCCGGCGGTCTTGGTGGTCGGAAGTTGCCGAAAAATCGCCGCAAAACTTGCCCAAAAAATCTGAAAATTCAGTGACCGTTTGTGAAAGAAATTTAAACTTCAGTGACCGTTTTGTGATTTTCAAGTAACTTCAGTGATTGTTTGTGAAATTAACCTATAAATAAAACCATGTGCCAAAACTCATGGGAAACGAGCCACGGAGTTGGGAGATGTACTTACCTTTGGTCATAGCCATCAGGTTGAAATATTGGATCCCAGCCAAAATCATTTGGTCCCCTTAGAGGAACTATTTTTCCCTACAATACCAACCACAAATTGTATCAGTTCTATTATTAGTTATCTTTTTATATCCACAATCTAGCTCAACGCACAAAATACATGCGCACTCAGACATCCTGCAAAATGTTAGTCAATATCTGATTTAGCAATTTGTAAAAATTATATTACATTTATAACCAATAATTGATAGTAAGTTAATATAATTATGGACAACAAATTGCACAGAGATACAACATAACCCAACAAGTTCCTACTATAGGTACATGTACAAAGTACAATCATAGTCATGAACATGGGGGTATCATCCAAAACATGTGTTAGAAAAAATAAACGTGAACGAATATCGGTTTAACAAATATCGGATTTAAAACACATACCGGATATACAACTTACCGTATATGCAACCAACATACCGTATATACAACTTATCGAAAATGCAATTCAATATACCGTATATTCAACTAACATACCGTATATATAGTTTATCGTTTAGACAATAACTCATTGAATAATAACTAAAATATAGCAGATTAAATAATTTACTGATCACAACAAACAAAATAAGTTATATAAAACACGATAAAATGGAACAAATAATCTGAATAGCAAAGAATAAAAATTCAATTGAACTTTAAAACCGAGGCCTGTGTGAAAACGATTTTCTTAAAACAGATTCGCCCCCTCAACGTATATGCTTGAGATTTAATTTGAGCGTCCGTTTTCTAAGATACAACGGTAAAGCAGTAAAGTCCGAGCACTGCAGATTCTACTCCGATGAATTGACTTAGTATCAGAACAATATCACCACCAAGATCTTGGCAGACAGCAAATTAAGTATGCAAACAGAAATTTTTCGTGTGTTTTGGAACTGTAACGCAGACAGTGTATTCTTCATGTCTGGAACAGTGGAAAAACGAGGCTTTATATAGAGTTTACCCCAGTAATAATGAGTTAAATCTGTCAATTAACTCAATGATAATAACCACTGGAGTTTCAACAGTTTCAAACATTATTGGAGTTTAAGCAATTTAAGAAATCAAAAGTTAGTTGTTGAAAGCAAAAAAATTGGCAAAACATAGGCCCTCGTAGGAGCCAATTTTTGGTCAATTCGGTCTGACATTCATGTACGTAGGTCACGCCCACATACAAGTCCAAGGTCCGAAGCCTATTATGATCCGTGATTGGTACCCCTTGCACGTGCACGTAGAGAGAGCCTCTAACTACACATAATTACACACTTCCAAAGTATAGCCATGTATAAAGTAGTTCTTGCTTTCATAGGCTTCCTCTGTGAAACAAATTCAAATTTAGTTTTTTCTCCAACATAAACCATATTCCAATTGTCCACTTTGAACTCAATTTCTCATTCACCCGAACTTCATTTTTGCCAAATAAATACATGAGTTCGATACTCTCACGGAGGAAAATACAAATCAATGTTCATCTTCCAAAATAATCAAATGGCCCCACTCAAAATTTATGCCAAATTTACCATTTCCTCATTTTAGCCATTTCCTCATTTTTTTCAAACAATTCCCCACATAAATGGAAATTGGGAGAGACAATATGTGAAACAAAGACTTGGTAATAAAGTTCAATGCTTGAAACCTGCATAGGATAGATAGGTATTACCCTTTGAACCTTCCCTTGTGAAAGCATATTTACTTTACTAGCTAACCAGTAGAAGCGCTGTTTTTTAACTGT